CTTCTTCTCGTCTCGCGAGTCGGCAATCCAGCGGTACGACTGAAGGAGAACGGCGGGGCCAAGGTATTCTTCCTGGTTCCACCAGTACGAGGGACACGAAGTCGAGCAACAGGCGCAGAGAATGCATTCGTAGAGACCATCGAGCTTCTTGCGCTCCTCCTTCGATTGGCGGTACTCACGACCCTGGAATGATGTCAGCGGGGCTCCGTCAAAATGCCGCACGAAGACTCACGTCTGGTGAAGGGGTTGTGCGCTGAAGGTATGGCTTGACGGAACGGTATTGCTTGTAGAAATTGGTCATGTCAGGCACCAAGTCCTTGACAATGTACATGTGCGGGAGAGGGTAAATGCGCGACTCCTTGGTCGTCTCGGTGGGGATGCGGCCTGTTTCACGAATGTTAGTTCATTGACTCCAGTAATGGCATTTGTATTTGACGCACAAAGACAAGCCAGCGTGTTCACACCGTCAATGTTCATGGCGCAGCTTCCACAAATTCCTTCACGGCAGCTTCTCCGGAATGTCAAGGTAGGGTCAATCTCGTTCTTGATGCGGATGAGCGCGTCCAGCATCATCGGCCCCGTTTTGTTCAGATCCAGCGTGTACGATTGCATGCGGGGCTTTGCGGTCGGTTCGTCGGGGTTCCAGCGATAGATGTGGAACGTCTTGATCTTCGCATCTTTACTCGGCTCGGGTTCCTTGACCGTCGACGTCTTGCTCTCCGGCACCACGGTGCGAGCTGGGTCAGGGACAATCTTTTCGGCAGCCTTCGAGATGGGGTCGCGGGCGCTGGTGTCGGTCACAGAGGCGAAGCCGCGAGAGAAGACGGCGGGACGAACGGCTGCTGGCAGGGTGTCAGTGAAGCTCCAATTGTGCCACAGGGTGTTGGTAGAGCTGGTCGTACCTGTCCGCGTCGCAGCCAGACGGGCGAGAACGCGCGTGGTGGCCATTGTGAGTGGTGGTGGTTGTCGAGGTGCTTGGATGGCGAACTCAAGCGAACTAAAGCGAACTGGAAGTCGTTACGTGCACGAAGTCGAAGACCTCGGGCCAAGCGACGACGGATGCGGGTCAGCACTTCAGGAGCCTTGTGATTGGTTCGTCAGCGAGGTGGTCAGTGCTTCTCTATCGGGCCATTTCGGCATGTGCACCTCGCCACAAGCATCTTCACAACCACCCGACCTCGTCTCGATCGCGAAGATTCCCAAGCTTTCAACATGATATCATAGATTGATGAAACATCCGGCGCCGTCACAGAGACTCCCACGAGATGGCCGTGTGACGCAGTCTTATGTTCCGGCTCCGACGCTCCGTCATCGGAACCGTTCCACTGCTTGGGCGCTCCTCATCTGGACGGTATCATCGTTCCAGAATGTCTTCGCCTCTCAATTTCTCCGGTCCGATTCATTGGATCCTGGATTGGGACGGAACACTCACCAAGCGTGACACTCTAGATGCCTTGGTCAACATCGCCGCAAAGTGCAAGACAGGCTCGCCCGTGCACAAGGAATGGAAACGTGTGGCTGAAGCCTACATGACGGACTACGAAACGACTCTCGGAATTCATTCGAAAGATGGACGACTTCCCTCTTCCATTTCTGAAGAGAAAGCCTTGCTCAAGACGCTGGAAGAGGTCGAGCAAAGGAGTATCGATCGGGTTTCTGAATCGGGTATCTTCGAGGGTTTGACGACAGAGGACATCGAAAATGGGGCCACCAATGCTATCGAATCTGGAGAGGTCGAATTGAGAATAGGTCTCACTGACTTTTGGGAACTTGTTCAATCTCGCATTCAATATCAAGATGCTGTAAGCATCCTCAGTGTCAACTGGAGCCAACGGTTCATTCTGGCATGTTTGGAAACGGCGCACGAGAGTCTTGCAAATATGTTGTCGAATTCTATCAACTCGAACGAATTGGACGGTATATCTCAGGGCGCGACAACTACCGGGCGCATATGTACCGACAGGAAGACGAGGATCATCTCCAGCCGCGACAAGCTGGCCCATCTCGAACTTCTACGCGAAAGTACATTGCGCCAAGGGAAGCCGATGCAAGTCGTGTACGTTGGCGACAGCTGGACCGATTTCGAGTGCTTACTCTCTGCGGACTTGGGAATTTGCATCCGAGACGATCCGATGACGAACACGCAGAAAAAGCTCGCAGATTCTTTGGCAAGAGTTGGTGTTTCTTGTGCTCGTCTTCGGGGCTTGAAGGACGCTATCGGTATTCCTTGGACCCAAGACTTCCATGAGCTTCGAAATTGGATGCAGAAGTCCAGGTGAACGCTCAACCCACACGCCAGCCCAACGACATACAGCATCGGGCCAGACCATGTGCACACTCCTGGCTGTACGGTTCATCCTGTCTTGCATCAGGACACCGTACCTGGCTTCGAGTATTTGATAATCCACTTGTCTCCTCCCTGTTGGTATTTCAATGTGGTCGGCTGCTTTTTCGTCCTCAGCCGTCCCCCTCCGCCAATCAATGAAGCTGCCAATTTCACTCCAGTCTTGGATGACATTGTGCATTGTAGCGCTGCGGTGGACGAGAATCGGAGGAAAGTCATGAGCAGACCGAGAGTTCGGGACTGAATCTATCTCTTTGACTTCGAGCTCAAAGGCCTCGAGATCGGTGGAGAGCCTGCAAGTCTCCAATAATCCAGCGAGCTGCAGACGAGGAACGCATTCGCTCCACTTTGACAAAGGCAGTGAATCGAGGAAGAAAGTGGAGGCCTGTAGACATAAGACCTTCAGTGGACCACCAGTTCCACATCTCTAAGGGTTTGCCAGTCGAACGACGACGCCAACGTGTAAGTGGAGTCATCGATTTCATTCTGGCCGTCCAAGGGCTCATATTTAAAACGCATTGGAGTGTGAGCTTGCCCATCACTGCCGGGCCCAGCAGCGGTGACTTCATCGTTCCCTTACCAGCCACCTTCTGGCGATCCTCGTAGTAATACATCCTTGGACAGAACCGCTTCTTACCATATCCAGTCCAATATCAGCCAAGGCACCAGCATGCCATGAAATTCATCTGCCGAATACCCCACTCAGGGATTGCCTTGTTCGTAAGGAGCATGAAGGGAGTTGCGTCGTGTACGCCGTGTCCTCGAGCGAGGCTGCCACTTCCTTGCTATAGGGCCCATATATGACCAAGGAGAGCAACGTATTTTAGGGCCTGCGCATTCGAGTCGATAGGGAACTTCTATGAACGGTGTCAATTTCCACAGCTCATGGTACACCATATCTTGCAACTCCTGGGGCAAACCGAGGGATCGAGAAGGTTTACCACTGAGGTGCTGTTAGAAGCTGGGTCCGCATTCAGAGTCGTGGGGTCGGACATGCTGGCGTTTATGATTGTGAGGTCCGCTAGGGTTAAGGTGGTGTACTGGGATGCAGTGCTTTCAGGAGAGCGCTTCCGTACTATATTTGAATTTATGAATCGCCTCGGATCACGGCTCACAATCAGATACCTGGCCCGCGCGAGACTAGACCGTGTCACTATATGCACAAGGCACTTCCCAACGGCGGTCGCATAATTTGCTTAAGAAGGCACGCCTTCGCCCTCCACTCGATCCAACCGACGGAGGCCCCCACTTCGATACTTCCGAAACAACTCCTGCATTCCGACTATCTCAACTTCGAGTTACGGCCAGCGAGATCGAGGTCACATCCGAGCTGCGATGCCTGCTCAGTCTGCCATCAACAATATCCACAAGGATAGTGATCGAACCAAGCACGAAGAAACCGAAGCTCCGCCTCAATCACCTTTATTCAGCTTCCCCACGAGCTCCGTGATCTCTTACGTTTCCCCTGTCCCAGCCGCACACCGATAGCACCGCACTCCGCTTTTGGCTTCATTCCAGGTTTACAATTCCATGTAGGAGCAAGAAAATGTCAGTCCTCCCACCCAGAGACGGCGTTATTTACTCCACTACCATTAAGGAGCAAAGACAAATAAGCGCGGTCGTCTTCCTCTCTGGCTATGCAACTCGAAAGCGATTCTACACGAACGCTTGAAGCAGCTCTTCCTGAAGGCTGAGTGGGGAGTTACAGCCGGCAGTTCAGTCGCGCTAAATGCCTATAGGGCATACCATACACTTAGGAAACTTCGATACCAGCCCATGCCGCCTCCCAGCTATAATTCCAAGCCCTCGCCACTTCCTCAGCCCCCCAATGCGACCAACTTGACCTTGCGCGCCGATAGACTTGATGAAGACCCTGATTGGCGCAGATTATACACCGATTATTGGTTCAAGGAAGCCTTTCGCAGTGCGGTGCGACGACACATGCACGGAAACACTCAATTGGGGGCTGTAGGAGTCCACTACTTTCACGAGAAGATGCGTTTCAATCCTTATGGTGAGGCCCGCGACTGGACGCAGTGGAAGAAGAATTTATTGTTTCTGGAGGCGATAAAAGTGCCGTTGGAGCGCGTCTCAGTCAGGCTGCATTATGGCAACTTGCACAATTCAATCCCTGTTGTGGAGTAGGTCATCCTGAATAAGGTTCGTCGGGTCGGGTCGGGTCGGTATTTGTTGGAAATGGGCAATTGGAGCTCAGCAAGGTCAAAGTCAGACGGCTGATTATTCGAGTTCTCGTTCTTCGAGAAAGGGAGATGAGGACAAGCTACTAGAGAATGGGCGACACCTCTGCCTGCGGATGTATTGGGTCAACCATGTAACGGATCAATCTATGTGCGAGTTTTTCATGATGGGTGGTGTTTCGATAATTCACAATTGGGTGTACTTGAAACCGCGTTGACAGCCTGTTATGACGTTGAACTCAAGGTGAAGTGACCAAATAGTCTCTTCCCCGCATCCAACCAAAAATAGAGGACCTCGGCCCACCCAGAACCGCTTCCAAATAAGTCGCTTTCACTTTTGATGTTCTTTCCACCACGCTGTCACCATGCTATCCCATCCTTTCGCCTCGCGCACACAGACAAACCAAAAAAGAGCCGCACAACGTCCCCATAGCTAATACACGACCAAAAGAATGCATTTCCGACACCGGGAATCGAACCCGGGCCTTGCCGGTGCGAAGTTAATCGTTACTCTGCGATGAGAGCGGCAAATCCTGACCACTAGACCATATCGGATATTTTTGTGATTAAATATGTGAATTTCCGTCCATAAACGGTATATGTTGAGTAAAAAAAGATCGAGGGTGAGTAGTAGAAGTCGGAATGGCGTATGGAAACGTGAAGGTGGTGATGGTGGGTTTGTTGTTACGGGCAGTAAGCATGAGTCACTACAAACAGATTTTTTAGGCAGGAGGGATCCACTTCGAACTCGGATTTGCCTGGCAGTCAACCGATACCAACGTAATTCAGATGAAGATCATGATTCTTTACGAAGCTAGATAAAGGTATGTTACCAAGTTGAAGAATAATGGGCGATACATCCCGAGTAATTGTACTTAGAATCGGAACCAATTACTGACAACTCCAAGAAAGCGCCATCGTCATTATACGGTCGTTATATCATTTTACAATTTCCAAAGCATTCATCTTGTCATTCTAAAGAGATATCGTATGAAGAGAGACAATCTGCGAGCAAATAGGATACCTGAGAGGGCTGCGCGGGATATCATCATAAATGTGGAGGCCAGAAACGAGTGTGGAGGAAGGAGACCGCACTCGTTACGAGGACTTGGAACAAAAAGAAGGAACGGAACTACTCTGCAATCGGTGTATCGGCACGTTCAGGCTCAGCTGACACGTAGGGAGTGATTCCGAGCAGCTTCATCCCATTCTCCAACACTACGCGGGTAGCCTCGAACAGCACTAGTTGACCAGGTGTAAATGCAACTTCCTTCTTTTCTGGCTCGGTTGCTTCAACTTTTGCTTCTCCTGGATTCGATGCTTCTGCCTCGGCTCCCCCTTCTGGTTTCGTGGCTTCATCCTCTACATCGCCTGCCGCAGGCGCTTCATCCGCTCCGCCATCATCGTCATTGTTCAGGCACTCAGCCAATAGCTCTACAACGCTTGACAAATACGTGACGATAGCCGCTGGCTCGAGTGATTGGTAAGTGGCATGAGTGACCTCCGGATACTGAGCTAAAGTGCGCAGCAAGTTCGCCGGCTCATCTTCCAAAAGGGGTTCGTAGTCTTCATCCGAAAGCTCCACACTGCCAGGGTGGTCCTTGAGGATGGAGCAGAGCTTCGTATACCAGTGTTGCAACTCCGGTCCTGTACCGGGCTTAAAGGCCGTCATGGTGCTGGTATCGAAGGAATGGGCTGAAGTCGTTCTAGTCGACAATTCCTGGGCGAGCAAGGCGGCTACACAAAGAGCCTTTGTGCCATTAACGGGTCCTTTGAAGATGGAAGCCTTCTCTTCATCGGCATCCAGTGCAGCCTCCATAGCGTCTTCGCAATGGCTGATGATGGCTTGTGGTTTATAGCCTTTTCCCAGCTTATCGGCCATCTTCGAGACCTCACTGAAGCGCAGATGTTGAACCTTGTCCGCGAGCTCTGTCATACCAAGCGCCTTGAAGATGTGATGCAGCTGCGTAAAGTGAACGCCATTGTCGTTCGCCGCAACGATGATCATCTTGTCGAATTCGTATTTCCTCGATCGTTCCAGGACAGCCGCCAAATCGCGAAGTAGGTACATGCTGGCTCCAGTCCGATCTCTGATAATTGCCGTGCCCGCTCTGAGCCCAATGTCCTGCATGTGAATCACCCAAGCTCCAGCGCTCTCTTTACAAATCTCCTTCTCCTTCAGCATCTGCTCAATCTCAGCCATGGTCTCCTGGCTGACCTGAGATTCTCCAGTGTATTCGTCGAACTTCACCCCCAGTTGAGAGTAAAGATCTCGGTAGTTTTCGATGTTGACATCCCGCACACGCTTCCAGAAAGTAACAGCTTCCTCATCACCATCCTCCAGTTTCCTGAACGCGGCGTTTCGTTCAGCGAAGATGCCTTGATTCTGGATTTCCGCTTGCGCTTCTCCCTCATCATGTCCATGTTTTGCAGCTTCGTCACGGGCTTGTCTGCTGGCTGCTTCTTCGGGCTGAAACGCTTCGGCAATTTGACGGTACACGTCGAGAAGATGTCCGATGGGATTGGCTTCATACTCTGCCTCGTTGCCGAATCTTTCCCAGCCCACTTTGAGAAGTGCTATGTTCTTACCCCAATCTCCAAGATAGTTGATTTTTGTGACATCCCATCCCATGTTTTCGTGGAACCTGCTCACGAACGCGCCTAGGATGGTGCTTCGAAGGTGCTTTCCCTGGAACTCGCTGGTGATGTTTGGCGAAGAGAACTCCACGACAAGCTTCTTGCGTCCCTCCTCCGGCGCAGAGGAGTTGCGGAACCCAAGAGCCGCATCATTGCCATACGTACTCTTGCGGTCGAGTATGAAAGGTAGCAAGAGCCGTGTGAGCGGCTCAGCATCGAGAAAGATGCGGAAGTGTACTCCTTCGAGGAACGGCAGAGGAAAGAGAGGGTGATCCCGTGGGAACTGGAAAGAGTCAGGCCTGTATGTACAAGTGAGTGCAAGGTTAATCGGGATGGGAACATACCTTCTTCGCCAGATCGACGGCCACTTCGGCAGCCTTGGAGCCTGGGCGGAGCTTCGGCAGAACGACCGCCAAATCCCCGTTGTAGATATTATTGGGCCATTGAATCGACTTGTATGCAGCCTGAGAACTACAGTCCACGAGGCTACCCAAGATGTCGGCTAGATATATACGCCAAATGTCGAGAGGCTTGGTTAAAATATATGCCGTGTCGGAGCTGGGAAGAGGTACAGTCAGGTTTAACGACTCCAGGCGTTTCTCAAGCTCGGGGATGTCAAGCGTCGTCATGAGTGTAGAGTAGCTCTGTGATCCGATAAGGTACTCGTAGTAGAGCAAGCAAGTGCAACAGAGGCTGAAGAGGTTAGCGCCCCTGGAGTCGCGGATAACTTTGAAGAGGAAGCAATCGCTCACCCCGCACGTCGGGCACCGATAAAAAGGCGTATCGTCCCAGCCTACGATATGACTGATGTGTTCGTTGGTCGCGCATTCTCAGCCTCATTTTATGACATGCTGTTGAGTGTGGGCCTCGTGTTTCCCCGCCATTGGCCGTCGCACCCGCATATGCACCAGGACGTGTTCAATGAGAGTGCGCAGCTCACCTCCATGATTGCACATGATGAGAATAGTGGAATTTGATTCGAGCATCATGCGATATGCCGGACCTTCTAGCTGACCTTCTTGCCTTATCTCGGCAGTGTAGATACCCGGCTCATCGGTCCAGTAGATCTCCAGATAACTTCTTGTCAGGGCAAGGCAAGATTAAGGCAATCAAAACCGACCAAAAGAGGGGCTCGCAGCCGGCGTATGATTGGCTGAAGCCCAACAACATCGATCTTCCGAATACTAAAGAATCATCTTGAGAGACGCGCCTTTCCGCACTGAATACCGAGAAGTTCGGAGTAATCGCGAAGATAGAAACACTTGCCCAACTGTACGATAACCAGTACACAGATTCGCAAGAGGGTATCATGAAAAACAACGCGCAGTAAGTCGTAAAAGGAAATTCGTAACCACAAAGTCCGCACCACAAACCAATGAAACCCTACGTAGCTGCGGCTGCCGCTCCAGGTACGACAAGAGTCGCTTCTGTATCCGCTCGAACCAGTCTTTTTCTACGCAGAGTTTCTATCCTCTCCCGAAATTGTAGATTGCGTGGATGAATCTTTACTCTTGTGTTCTTGATCTTCAACAAGAGACACCGAGGTCGAATCCTGCCTTCCTTGACAAAAATGAGAAATTGGAGGACACCCCAAACCAAGATGAACCCAGCAGCGAACGAACCCCCAGTTCGATGAAAACCTCCGAAAGGCTCGGGGATGGCGAAGAAGGCTGAGACGATGGCAACTGGAGAAACCCAGACCACCATTAACTCTGCAATAGAGCCGCTCAATTTCGCAGCTTTATTGCTCTCAAGCGTCAGACTAAGCTCAAGAATATCGGCGGTCATCTGGCATCGCCGTACCAGAGTGTCTAGTCTTCGCTGTAGGTAGGCTAGCTTGTCAAATTTTCCTTTGATTTCGAGCATTATCGGACGCAGGCCTTGGCTTGGTGTCTGCGACACTTCGGGAACGTTCTCGAAGTCGCGGAAATAACCAATGTCTCCATCATCGGAGGAAAACCGCTTCCACTCCTCATTGGTCCTTGCGAGCGCGTCATGGAGATCCCAAAGAATACGCAAAGTCTTTTGCGTCCGATCAAAGGTTGCCATAGCATCTTTGTTGACATTGGAACCGAGTGAAGGTGTTTTAACAGAGGGAGGTCCATCAGTGTGTTCCGGAATGCCGTTTTCAATCTTACGGATGAGTTTAGCCCACTCTCCAAAGATTTGGTTCAGTCGTCTGGACGCAATCAAAAGGAAGTACTCCCTCGGGTTCCAGATAGGATGGTTGGCATTGACAGGTCGAGTATTATCAGCAGCAATCTGATCTGCGACCATGCCGCTGTAGTCGAACTCGCATTCGCCCATGTCCTTGTCCTCGTCGAAATCGGTATCGCTAAATGAATAGGCTATCCAGCGGTGGTTCGCTACGCCGCAGATTGTGAAAGCCATGTGCGACTCGTGTATGCCTAGTGGCTTCGCATCTGGTATCGCATTCTCACCATTCTCTAGGAATGAGATGTCTCTCCAAATCCTCCGGGGCTTGACGAAGACTTCTTCTTTGTAACAAGGTTCCCGGAAGCCCCTTCTGAGTGCGTAGAAGGGCATATGAAACTGGAGTTGGAAGACGGTAAAGTCTCCAGTCTGAGGGCAGATTAGCGTGATGATATATATAGACCAATAGTGAATGGATAAGCATACCGATATATCGACACTAAGACATGTTTGCAATGCCAGATGCTTAAATATTGCATCTATCAGAGACGGAGCCTGGTGGGGAGGGGCAGTTTCTGTGAGTGCGAGGACGAAGAGCGGGCTCAAATTGAATATGGAGCTGTAGAAGTTAGTAGAACACACAATGTATGGATTTCAAGGACTCACATCAATCGCCTATCTGCATCGGGCAATTCAGAGTGTCCAAATTGCTACGGAGGTCCAGTCAGTGAATTGATGACTGACCAAAAGGCTGATGTTTGACC